TTGATGTTTACCCACCATTAACTACTCCTTAGAAATGCGAGCTCTATTTCTTGAAAAGCTGTCTAGGCTTATAAAATACACCTTCCTTATAATGTTAGATGGGACGAAGGGGATAAAGAGGCCGCGCTGGTTGAGTGCACCGCACCGGTATGTTGTAACTTAACGAATGACGTGCCACAAGACGTCGTCTTAGCAGCTAACACTACGCTGTTGTCGCTGCTGGGTTGCCCAGCCTTAGTGAACGAACTCTGAATTGACCGGCCTAGATTGCTCCAGATATTCCCAGTTACAGTTGAGGCAACTAGACAGTTGTCGGTTAGGCACTTAACCGTTCCCCGGCAGACAGACAGACCTGTCTGCCTCAAACCTTTGCACGGAGGACGATTTCCGCAGACGCAATGCGATGCGAATGCAAACGCACTAGGTTGGACAATATCTAGTTGTGGACCGGCTCATAGAGAGGAGGAGGAGGAAGAGCAACACCACCGACCATGAGGGCGCTGCGACTTCAAATATTGCACTAACTGACTGACTGACTGACTGACAAGAGAGCTGAATGGTTGGTTCCGGTGCTGGGGTCACACTCACTCCACTTTGGCGGACCCTCCCCTCCCACACACCTCATCTTGCAGGCGAGTGGTGGCTCGAGTACCGGCGATACTACTCCATAAACGATCTCACCGCCCTTGCGGAGGTTACCGGACAGCGACCCAACCTGCCCAACGATTTCAACGGCCGGCGGGAGGTGGTCTGCGACGTGGACGTGTCGCATTGCAGGTAGGCGCTGGCCCGCTTCGTGAAAACCTGTACATAAAAGGAACGGTATCATGCCATCACGCCATCATGCCATCGTATGGCGCCATCTGACAGCTCTTAGGCAGTAGCACCGGATTATAGGTCGCTGTTGTCGTTACTGTCGTTACCCCAAAAAGCTATTCCAGTTGATCGCTCACTAGTACGTACTTGACTTGACTTGACTTGCTGGTATGCGCCCGGATGCCCCCCTCTGACACGGACGTCCCTCAGGATCATCCACGTGCGCGGCAACTTGCAGATGACGCGAACCAAGAAGGCCAACCCGCCGGGTGAGCGTGGGCGAGCCGCCGGCACCGGGGGCCCCGTGTTCTGCCGCTTCACCTACAACAAGCACACTGGAGCGGTGAGTAAACCTACTCTTTTGGGTTTTGCGAATTGACGACGCAGCTTGCTATCACATACATGAGTGGTGAGTACCGGAGTATGCGCCAGTTAAGGTTAGCGAATTGCGTTACAGCGGCCCCGAAAGGGCCGGCGGATGCAGCTGTTCGATTGATTGTTGTGGCAAATCGGGATGAAGTGTACTCGAATGTCAAATGCGAAGGGTTCATTGCCTGACGGCCATGGGTCATGGGTCCCTCCGCAGGTGAGTGGGTAGATGGGTAGGTAGCGGTAGCGGGGGCCGTTGGGTGGGGTTCTAATACCCGGTAAATGCATAGGATGATGGCTTGAGCGGCAACACGACGACGTGGTAACACTGGTCACTGGAGGTCGCCGTGGAGGGCACTCTGAGAGCCGCTGTCCGCTATCACGCCATATCGTTCGTGTGGCGGGATACTCCAAGAGCCAACTCCAAGAGGTTGAGCCTGTTGACCATTTGAGGTGCAGCTGCCGGGTAGGGCTGGCGAGAGGGCCCGGAAGTCCAGTAGGGTTGGACACCTGCATCAGTCCTGGCTCGCCTCCAAGTTCTTACCTACCAGTTCACCCACCACCCTGGAGCCCGTGGAATAGTTCACTTAAAGCAAATGCCGTTGTTCCCCTCTCGGAGCTCCTCTCTCCGCTCCCCTCTAATAACAAATCGTGCAAACCAACTCTCCACATGCGCGCACAGCTGACCTCCTTGTCTCAACAAGTGGCCGACCTCGTTATCGACTAACTTCTTGCTGGAGTTGCGACGGGCAGAGCGGCGGTGTGCGTGTACGGACATGCAAGTCGTTCAACTTGTTAAGCGGACCGCCGGCGCTCATGGCAGGATGTCGCAGCGCTGGATGAGCGACGACAACATCCTCCTCCGTTGTCGGGTGGTAACGGCGGATGGACTGAGGGCTTCAGGGCCCGTGTGTGCGTGTGTGTTGTGTGTACGCCGGCCCATGGTGCCGCCCTTACACCGCGCACGGCGGGTTTGGGGATTGTTCGTCGTAACTGAGCTGACGTTCATAAAGCGTGTACCTAGAGACGACGCACTATGGGGATTGATTCTGATCGATACGACGGTGGAAGATCAAGAACAGTGCATTTGGCCCTGACTCGGGATAAGGTCGTGGCATGACCTGGGACGTGGGGCTAGCAACCGCTGCGTGATGTAGAGCGCTCTTGGACATGGAGCACTTTTCCATGCGACGGGATTTACAGGCGTTGAGGATGTTGCGTGTACGTGTCTCTCTGTGTACAGTACCTGCTAGCCTCTGCCAAAGAGGCCGCCATGCCTTCGACTTTCCTTTGTGTGCAACCTCATTTCATACCAGCATCAGACTCTGTTAGGTTGCTGACGTTTAGCAGAGTGAGGGTTAACAAGACTCAAGTTTCAAGTGCAAGTCTGCGAGGTAACGCATATGGAAGTTCCCCTTGGGTCATTGGCCCGCGGTCGATGACCATCGGCCGGTCAGGTCAGGTCAGGTCAGGTCTGGTGAAATGGTGATCAACCGCGCTGCCGTCTCATCAGCCGCGAACAGCGCGCCCAAGCCAGTGCACCCTCTCGCGCACGAGGGAGTGACGTTTATGCTCACGAGGCCCCCTCTTCACTTGCAGTTCTTCTGGTTCGAGGTGTCCTCGGGACCACTAGTGTGGTCTAACCCAACATGCGTCAGCAGCAGGCATCAGCATGCCCAGCACCAGGATCGGCATTAGGCAATCAGCCGAAAGAGACAGTTGTATCTAACTGCATCTAGACAGGGGTTCAAGTGAGTGAAGTGTGCAGTCAAAGATTCGCGGGCGAGGCGGTCGGCCTGGACCTCAGTTGCCCGTGCTAGCTAGCAGAGTGCGTGTGCGGGTACCTCCTGGCTGGTGGGTTTTCAACTTATGATGAGAGAGGGGGCCCGGTTACAGCCGCACTCCGGGCTGTCCGCGGTGACTTGGCTCTTAACCAGCGGGGGCTGCTGCTGCTGCTGCTGCAGCTGCTACCGCTGACTGGACTCTCCCGTGCTAATTTGTCTACGCACACGCAGGGTTCTTCACCAGGGTTCCCAAAAATTTCGGCCGTGTCCGAAACCCTCTGAGTAACCTTTCGGGGCCCTCCCCGAAAATTTTCCTGTCAGCCGGATAGCGTTTTCGGGTACCCCGAAACTGTCTGAAGCGGTTTCCGGGGTACAATTTAGCTGGATTCTTCGTTATATGCTAGGACGGCTGAATCAACAGGTGTTTGACTTTATTTTGGAACATAGCTCCTGGGAGAATATTTCAGCAAGGATTTTACCCAAAGCAAGGCTATCTTAGACTTCATAACTGAAAACTCTTTCTGCAAAACGTCAAGTTCGCTGACATCGAAGGCAAACAGGCGGTTCGAGCTTGCCGAAGCCGCGAATCCCGAGGGAGATGCGGGGCACCTTGGTTGGGCGCTCATCATCAGTTGACTCGGGCATGTTTAACTATGCATATGCTTAGATGTATGAAAATGTGGGATATGGATATGCTTAGATGTATGAAAATGTCTGCGATACAGCTGCGAAACAGCCGCAATGCACATTTGTACTTGTTGTTTGACTGGTGACCAAGCGGGCCTTATACGGCAAGCCCGGTTTCCAGGCCCCGTCTGCGCCCGAAAACATGCAAATTTACGCTGACATATCGTTCGGTTTTCTCCGAAAATGCCTTCAAAAGGCTTCGGTGGGGTCCCCGAAAAAATGCTCTAAAAGGCCCCAAATCCGTTCGGAATGCTCCGGGGCGCACTAATTTTCCTTTCGGGCAAAACGGAAATATCTCAAAAGTTCGGGCCCGAATCGGGGTGAAGAACCCTGCGCACACGTATGTCATGCAAGCAGTCATCGTTCCTTGGTTTCAGCAGCTACACCACTGTGTTTTCCGGGGAGGCGCCGTCAAGGGTCCCATGGAGAGCCCACCCTCAGCTGGCGGGACAAGGTTCTGCGGCTTCAGGATCAGGGCAGGGCTGCATCAACCACATTTACAGGGTTGAGTTCCGCTGTCGGTTCCCGTTGGTCGCGGGGGCGGGGTGTGCTTGACACCCGTTTCTGCAAACTGCAAGATACACATATATCTGTGGCTCGAATACTTCCTACCTGCCTGCCTAAAGGCATTTGCAGCGACAGCATGTATGAATGAGAAATGCGCAGAAAAAATGGTGGGAAAGGAGGGCGGGAACATAGCCACGATGCACAGCGTGAAAATTAACACCCCACCGGGCCCAGATCAGTTACCGATATTGCAAAATGATCTCAGCTAGGGGAGTCCAGGGCCCCAGCTTATAGGGGGCTCTTTTGCTGACATGTGCGACTCAAAACTTGCTTTGTGCCGTGTCCACTTATATGCCGGACACAGAACTGAGCTCCCACATGTGTATAGCCTTCAGGCGCAACCAGGTGCAACTGCCAATGGCCCTGCCAGCCGCTGCCGAATGGACCAGGACTCCGTGTCCACATCTTACTACACAACTTCAGCAGGGAAAGCTCCTCACAATTATCCCCCCCATAGTGGGATTGTGAGGACATCCAACTTCCAACCATGCACGAAAACATATTGTGTGCGCAACAACCTAGAGAATGGCAACATAACGCTGTACAACGGGTTTCAAGCTAAAGACAGTTGTCACTCTTCTAGCACATCACAGTTGTGTGCCTAAACAAGACACATCGCAACTCCATGTTTCTGCCGAGGCTGCTCTCCGGTGTTCTCGCGCCGCAGCTCAGTCGCCGCTGTTCGTCGCCGTAGCGGCTGCAGTGCGCAGGGTCCGCAGGGTCTACGTCGTCAGGTGTGGTAGTTGTGGTAGTTGCGGTAGTTGCAGCAGCGACCTTTTAAGGCCGGCGGGTCGCCATATCTGCGCAGGTCGTGGCGCACATGCGGCAGGCCTCGGCGCAGCTGCGCATGCACTCGTCATCCGCCCCCATCAGCCCCTCACAGTCCTCCGCACACGCCTCGCACACCTTCGATGCCATACGATATAAGGGTACGGGTGCGGGGTAGAACGGCGAAAGGGAGAATAAAAGAATATCGAAGCAACGAACTCCGGCAAAGGAGCAGCATGTGGCCCTCCCTCCCCCGTCCTCCCCCTCTTCCTGAGTCTCCACGTGTCGCTGACCGAGCTGCTGCCCGCTGTGCTGCCGTACGACTGCAACTGAATACCGGCGCACACCAACCCACACACCCACGAGGAGGAACACCATCTCGCAGTGCGGGGCGAGACACGCACACACACATGTTCGAGTGCGGGTGTTTGTGTTGCCCACCCCTTCCCGACCTCCTGAACCAGCGGGATGGCTCAGGTCCCTCCCTCCTGCCCCGCGCCGCGTGTGTTCTCTTGGGGTCGACCCCCCCCTCCAAGATATCTGGGGGAAGGCCCCGGATCAAAAACCCCTATGTCCTCCTTGCCACGCTTACTACCCCACCACCACACACACAGACACGGATACAGGCGTCCTCATCCTTACGACAATGCATGACACGATATGTACGGAAGGCGAGGGAAGACTGGTCCTTGCAGCTTTCTGGCAGCTGGCCAGGTAATCCACCTCGGAGGCCCTGGAGGTCCCCAGGCGGAGGGCGCAACCCCCCAACCTCACGGCCCCGGCAGCGCCCCGGCTTTTCCCCGAAGATTATCCATTTCCAGCCCGCCAGTGTTCAACCCGCGTGCTGGGCCCCCCCCCGCCATTCCCCCTGCACAGCCCCGCTAGCTCACCTCCCTGCACACCGCACACGTGCGCACGTGCAGCCGGCTGCGGCTGATCATGAAGCGCGCGGAGACGTTGCACATGGCCGCGCAATTCTGTTGTTGTGAGCCGGAAAGGGGGTAATGAAACTCCTTAAGTCACCCACCGTGCTGCGACACACGTGCCCGGCCACACGGCTCAGGTCCGCTCGGGGGACATTCTGAGGCCCCCCTGCCCTGCCTTCCCTCGGCGGGGCGGTCCTGGTGGTGGTCTTGCTGGCTCTAGCTCATCGGAATGCCCGTGTGTGGTTGGTTGGTTGGTTGGTTGGCTACCTCGCTTCCCCTCCGTGACCTTCGTCCGGGTCCACCCCTAAAACCCTAAGGGTCTCCCAACGAAGTGTTGCTAGGCAGCGGAGTGTCTCTGCTGGTGGCGCTGCTGGCGGTGTCCGCCGTACGGGTGGGGATCGTCAGCGGTACCGCTCAAGGGGGCCCGCAGGGCCTTCAGGGCTTCATGGCCTCTCCCCAGCGGTGAGAGAGCACGAACAGCGCCACCGGTAAACCAGTGCTGGGTCCTCTGTCCGACTGGCATCTTAGGAGTCATGGATAGCTGGTGCCCGCGAGAAGGGTGTTATGGAGGGAGCCGTTCATCAAACAAATGACGGGGGAAATTCCCCCCAAGTGCGGCCAAGTGGCCCAAACACCCACCAAGGCCCCGAGAAAGCCCTTGGTTCGGCTCTGGCGCGTTAAAAATGAACGACGGCACCAGTGTACATACATATATATTTCGTCGTGCTAAAGCCTAAAAAGCCCCATATAAATATTGCAAACTCGCAGCACGCACGTACCACCATGAGCATGATGTGGTCGGGTCTGGCGTGGTGGCCACCTACGTGCGCAGCAGGAGGATGGGGGGCTAGCTCTCGCAGCTCGCGATGGAAGGAGGGGATCTATCAACGGTCACTGCGTTGAATCATCCGGCGGGCGAAGTGCGATTTCCGTTTCCAGAAATCCGACCGACCCCCTCCCCTGGAATAAGTTTATAAATTGCACGAGGACGCGTTGCGAAAAGCCCCAAAAAGATGAAAACGTTCCCTGATTGGAAATGGTTCTCAGTCAAGCGACCCACGGGTCGAACGATGTACATATACACGAGTGAACTGGCTTCTCTCCACAAGCACGCGACGGTTCCGCTTCACGTTATACATGTGTGGTATCATTTATTCGGTTTTCCTTCCAAACTAGCAAGCATTGAATATCCATCTTGAGGTGCACCCTGTTAGCTAGGCGACACAAAAGGACCATTACTTGCAGGTGCGCACAACACAGAATCCAACGACCAAAGAACTTAGAAACGTTCACACCTTTCGACAGGCAGTACGGAATGGTCTCTAGGCAGATCCTCTCGCATTCGCGGCAATTGTCGATGCACTCCTTCATCCCAGCTTCCGAGCTGCTGCTGCTGCTCCCGGGCATCTCGCTCGTCGCAGCCGGATCAGACGTACTGGCCATAGTTGGGAAAACAAGGAAGAAGCGCTGTAGGAGCGCCTGTATGTGGATGTGGGCACAGTCTTGTCTCGAAAGGCCGCACTTGTGTCTGTTCCTGATCGGTACCGGCTAATTACTGCATCTCGGGAAAACGTCTCCTCGGGCGGCCAGATCTGCCGGGAGCAGTTCGATACTAAAAACACATAGTCACAAGGACAGATAGATGCTTATGATTTACTTACATTTGCGAGGTCTCTGAGGTACGGGACGCCATGTGGAAAATCCGACGATTTTGCTGCGCGACGCCTCGTGAAGTGAAGTGACGTGACTTGCGCATGCGGAGGCCGTTACCATAATAAGCTGCGATAACTAACCGAAGTGTCTTTTACAAGCTGAAAAACTTCTGCTGGCATGTAAAAATGAAGGCGTCAAAAACGGTGGCGTAACAGCGCGGATTGCCACGAGGGAAGGAATGGACGGATTTCTGCAACTAGTGTCGTTGCGCCTGCTATTGCTATGTGGACCTAAAGCTGCACGTCACGTTTATTCTGCTGGTTCGCTGTAGAGCTTGCTAAGACGATTAGCGCACGTGCGTTGTGCCGTGAGTTCCATGAGCCCCTCCATTTCATGTTGGCGTCACAAAATACCTTTGGAACTAATAGACGTACTGTCGGCGGCGTCGTTTGCGTGAGACGGTGCCCAACACACGTACTGAGTTGCGAACAGTAGTAACCCCCGGTCCGGTCCACCAAAGCGTTCTACAGTTTCGTCGACAGAAACTCAGGCCTCTTATCTATCTGTGGTCGTGGATCCGGCACCTGGCTGCGTATGTGTTCTTGCGTCTGTACGGCACATACACAGGGGCGCCGTGGTATTTCCGAACGCCTCGTAGATCCCTGATGCCGACGCCTCTCCGTTGCCGACCCCCCTGCTCGACGCGCTCCCGGCCATCAAGGCGGGGCCTGACGCCGCAACATACGAAAGCTATCCTGGAAGCCCCGGCCCTGCACGGCCCCTTTTGCCCTTGTGTGCATGAACGTACCATGGCGCCCCTACACGGCCCTCTGCCCCTTGTTGGCGGTGTTACACGCGACACGATGATACTGGCCAATGTAATAGAGCATTCAAATACGCGTCGTTGGCGATGGCTAGGGAAGCCAACAGAGCCGTCGCCAGCCGGCCCGCAAGCTGCATAAGCAGCCAGTGCTACATTCTATGTAAAACAGGTGAAAATCATTGGTACGGCGCATATGGCTGGTTGCATAACAAATTACGGGTGCGAGGCGAAGTGGATTCTTGCAAGTCGCAAGTCGCAAATCGCAACCTGCAACTCGCAACTCGCAACACGCAAGGAACTCGCAAAATCTCGCCCATATTTATACGCGAATACAGCGAATACATACGTGGTTCAGTTTCCGCGCCTGTAGTGCGGATCTTACAATGGGAGAAGTATTGACTCACTCGAGAACCGATTTTACTACAGCAAACGAGTGCGCGAACGTGTTTGCCACCTCAATTTTGACGAGAATTACACACAATCACAAGTAGTTGAAACTTGTGTGTGCGTGTGCGTGTGTGTGTGTGTGTGTGTGTGTGTGTGTGTGTGTGTGTGTGTGTGTGTGTGTGTGTGTGTGTGTGCGTGTGCGTGCGTGTGCGTGTGCGTGTGCGTGTGCGTGTGCGTGTGCGTGTGCGTGTGCGTGTGCGTGTGCGTGTGCGTGTGCGTGTGCGTGTGCGTGTGCGTGTGCGTGTGCGTGTGCGTGTCAAGTATCTGACCGGCCTGACACTAGCCGGGGACTGCTGCCCAGCCCCAACGGAAAGACCGCCTAAGCTCCTCCCGAAGACGGGAGAGGGGCGCAAGGGGCCTCTGCCCCCTCCTAAGCAGCCGAGAGCCGCAGGTCCACTAGTTCCGCTCTCCTCCCCGGGGTGGGAGGCGTCGCGCGCACGCATGATCTCATGAGTCAAGGCTCTGTCACGCGAGTTTGCGCACTGCGCCTGAAACACACAACACGCCTCCTCTACATCCCCGGCCTCATCCGGCTCTTGGGTTGAGGGTTCACTAAGACCGAGGAAGTCAGGAAACCCTGTACATACCCTATCCCTCCCTATCAAGGCACGAGGCCCTAATATAAAGCTCGGTCTCTCAAGTGATTCTCCGTTGTGGGGAAGCGGGCAGGGTTCAAGAAACTCGTTTTAACTAACTATATAGCGCACGTGAGGGAGACTGACTAGGCTAGCACCTAACAGTCCATCGTCGGGGCTAGGGATGCCTCGAGGCAGTGTGGTCGTTACAGTGGGCTCAGACTCACGAAGAGTAGAGCCAGCGGCCCAGCTGGCCGTGCACTGCACCTGATACGATGAGGGCAAACAAGACTCCCACCCACATCAGACAACGCAAGTGTCAAATAGACAGCCAAAAGCAAATCCAAAGGGAAGGCTCAGAAGCCCATAACCACTGGGGAATTTGCCATTAGACCCCCAGTTGGCAAAAGTTATCGGACCCCCACCAGAAGGACCATCAGCAGATACTGATAAGAACTTGCACGTTGTTACTAGATGAGGCCTGAGCGAGCTTGTGCGTATGATCAGCTACATCGCATTGCTCTGACAGACGAAGCCACATAGGCCGCAAGCCACTACAGCATATTTGCGCTTGCGATCGACCATAGCCCGAAGCCACAAATGCGCAGTGTTTACACCCTGCAAGCGCGAACCAAGTATGTATTCGCGCATAAAGATGGGCGAGATTTTGCGAGTTCCATGCGAGTTGCGAGTTGCGAGTTGCGAGTTGCGAGTTGCGACTTTCAACTTTGCAAGTTGCAAGCCGTACGTAAGAGTGCACTTCGCCGCGCACCCGTAATTTGCATTGCAAACAGCCATAACTTTGCAACTACCTTATGGCTGGCTGCATAACAAAGAAAGGGTGCGAGGCGAAGTGGACTCTTGCAACTCGTAAATCGCAAGTCGCATATCGCAAGTCGCAAGTCGCAAGTCGCAAGTCGCAAATCGCAAAATGTCGTCCATCTTTATAAGCGAATAAATACGGGATTTACGCCTGTAGGGTGTAAACACTGCGCATTTATGACTTCCGTGGCTGCCGGCAAGTGCAACAAATATGCTGAAGTGGCTTGCGGCCTATGTGGCTTCGTCTGTCAGATTTCTGAAGTCAAAGAGCCCGCCACCGTAAGGGCCGGATTGGTTGGGGCGAGCATCCGTATGATACGAAGGGCTCACTTACAACCTTTGTAACGCTCTCAGCCTAAGCGAGCCCCACGCACCACGCACGAACGAATTTAGGCCCTTTGCGGTGATATCCAGATTTTTGGCAGTGCGATCGCGCCCCGGTTTATTGTAATAATTGTCCGTGTTCCTGAATCAAGTACTCGTGTTATCGCGAGTATCCGTTAGCATTATGTTTCCTCTCGTACCTGGCGGCTTACCGTGGGGCCAAGACCCCCCTACTTCGTCTTCTCATCGATTCGTCACCGTTACGCCTGTGCGTGACGATCTCATCGTCCCGCCGTTACACCTGCCGCTGGTACGTTTTGTCTGTTTTCGATGGACGTCCGTCAGCTTAGTGCGTCCTACGCCTCGGCTCTACTATCACCGCAGGTCTTTCCTGGTAATGCTCTCCCTGCCATGCCTCCGCTTGCTGTGGGCCCTATCCGTCTCCCGAGGTCGGCGCCGCCGCCTTTAGACCCTGTCGCGGCTCTGTATTACTCTGAGTTTACCGGGGACGTGTCAGTGCGGCCGCCGCTCACGGCCGCCTTGCTCTCCATCTACCAAATGCACCAACGTCAGTGGGTCTCTGAGAGCTGGCGGCGGGTTCAAAGTGCTGCACGAGAATTTCATGGCTGGTTGCAGCGCCAGTCTCTCGGGCTCACCTTGCTCACCTGCGATCCTATGTCCATTGTTTCGTATCTGGTGGAATGGTGGTTCCCCCGGCACCCTGGGCGTCTGCGGGCAGACCGGCGTCCCAGCGCCAGTGCTGTAAAAGGGGTTATCTCGAGCCTTGCGACTGCCTTTAAGCAGCTGGGCCGGGAAGGGGACTATGACGCCTCTCAAAGCCGCGGGAATCCTTGCGACAGCTCATTGGTGCGCGGCTATGTCAAGGGCTACGGACAGGACCTGAGTGACGCCGGTTATGTGGAGCGAGGCGCCATCCCCTTGACTGCGGAGAAGTTTCGTCGCCTGGCCTGCCATCTGTGGATTGTGTCCGGCGATGAAGAGCATTTGTTTGCTCGCAGTTTGGTGCTTCGGGACTTGTCTCTATTTGCTTTAATGTGGCATACTTATCAGCGCGGTCATGATGTCGGCAAGCTGGTGTTAAGTGATTTCAGGGATACGGTGCATGGCCGTACCGAGTACCAGGGCTGGCCGTTACCCCTACCCGCGCCTGACGGGAGTGTCTCTCCCGACACTGTACTACGTATCGAAGAATTAAATACCAAGACGTACAAGGGTCAGCGTGCTCCTGCGACGATGTTGCGTCCGGATCATGATCCTCTCATCTGCGCGCTGTGGGTTCTCGCAGTGTACATGAGCACGTGTACGAGGGCCGGTGCCCCTATCACCCAATACCTGTTCCGTCCGGCGGAGTGCAGTGGCCGCGCATATCGGGAGGCGCCGATGACGACCGAGGCCCTGGAATATCGCCTCGTCGCTCATCTTACCGCTGCTGGGCTATACGGTGGAGAGACGGTGCACAGTTTTCGTTGGGGTGCTTTGCAGCATGCCCAGTCTCAGGGGGTCGCCGATGGGGATCTCATGCGCTCCGCGCACATCCGCTCTCTGGGTACCCTGCACCGCTATCTGGATCCTACTAGGCATCTCGCCCGCCTCCCGGCCGGCGGGACGGGGGCGGGGCTGGTGGTTTCAGAGAGTGATGATGACTGATGAGTCTGTGCGTGTTTGGTCCTGTCTCACAAGGGTGGGGAGGGAGGGCGACCTCGACTTTCTCTAGTCTTTCTAGTCGTCTATTTTCTGTAACCTGTCTTAATAAAGCTTAGTTGGTATCTGTTGTCTGACTCTGCAATCTGTGCTGGAATGGCCAAACTCGGACTGTCTCGTCCTGGTGTGATATCCGGGGTTGGCATCGGGCCCTCCGTACTTCTGTATTTGGCATTTCTGAAGTCAAAGAGCCCGCCACCGTAAGGGCCGGATTGGTTGGGGCGAGCATCCGTATGATACGAAGGGCTCACTTACAACCTTTGTAACGCTCTCAGCCTAAGCGAGCCCCACGCACCACGCACGGCGTCCCACCCTCCATCCCCCTGCCAACCTAAAACACCCCGGCCACCCGTGCTCCGCGCGCCCCCCTCTCTGCCTCGCCTTACTCCTGCTCCCACTGTAAACTCTCCCCATTTCGTATCTCCAACTCTCTCACTCTCGTCTCCGCGTCCCCCCGACCACCCCCGGGTGGTGCACCCGGGCACCCGTTATAAGTCACCTAAGTTGGCCCCGCATCGCTCCTCTGACACGCGGTAGTCATCAATTGGGGAACTGTACACTTTCCCCCGAAAACTGGACTCACCCTGATAGGTTCCCGCTGCTGTTCGAAAGGCTGCTGCCAGTTGTTCTGCTATCTCTTCGATAAGGGGTGTCAGTCCATGTCGTAGCCTCGCCTCCTGCGATTCGTGTATCCATCGCAGAGATCCTGCCCTACCCGCCAGAAAAACTGTTCCAGCACGTCCGTCAGACCGATCACCATGAGTTCTTTGCGCCGCCCCACAAAAGTTGACTGCCGTCCTCGGAGCCCAAAAATCCTTCGATTCGTAATGCCACTATCGCTCCTGGGTCTGAGGCCGCGTTGGACTCGAACGTGCCTCTGAGTGACATGGCCTTGTCTCCGTGTTTTGCAGCCAACGTCTTTCCCCAAGGCTCGCCAATCCACTTGTTGCCCGACCGGGCCCCTGGATTCGGACCGGATGTCCCTTTCCGCTTGTCTGCCGGCAGCGGATGACCCTTCGGCTCTAGCCTGGCGTATGTCCTCCGATTCCGCCCTCCTGGCCCTGGTCGCCCGGGTTGCATATCTTCGTCACTGCCACTCGCCGATTCCCTACTGCTCGGGGAAGCCGACTGCTCGGTAGTTCTCGGCCAATTTTCCTCTGCTCCTATGGCCGTGCCTTGCGTTTTAACAGGGTAACCTTCACTGGCCCCGGCAGTCTAGCGGCCCTCCCTGGTACTCCCGTAGCCTGCACCTGGGCAGGCCTTGACGTTTTGTAGCACCCTTCTCTCCTCACGGCATCCTTGCCTCTGGTTTCCTGATGGGCCAACCAATGACGTTTGTATCGGCCTTCGCCCCTCCTCATACAGAAAGATGCTAATGCATTCTTCAGCCGCCTAGCTGAAAAACATTCCCAGGCAAGGGCGTTTGGTACGATTGTTCATTTCTGGCTTTTCCACACCTTACTCGGGCAACTACCCTTATGGTCTCCATCAGTGGGTCGGCCCTTTATGGGGTTTTATGGGGAACAGTAACGGCCTTCTAATAGCTGTGGCTCGTTCTGTACCCCGCTTCGTGTCTGGTACTCCTGGTCCCGTGTCTGAGACGTGTCTCTCCCCGTCTCCCTTCTACAAGTGCACCGCCTTCTGTGATCGTTGTTGACATACCACGCCTGTAATCCGGCAAGCCATCACTGCGGGTTACTCAAGAACGCTACCTCCTGCAGCCTCTTGTGAACCGAACTCAGTGGACCACCTCAGCGGTTTGCTACAAGCGCGATGCCTTCTGTGGTCGCTGTCTACAAGTTCCCATACCAAACCTTCGGTTTGGCGTGCCGCCACGGCAGGCTTCCTAATCGCGTTGCCTTTCACCGCCGCTCGTCATGCATTCTGTGCCGCGCTTTGCGGGCCACCACAGCAGTTTTCTACAAGCGCACCGCCTTCCGCGGTCGCTGTCTATATCCTCCTAGGTCACAACGCCTCCCGTTCGGTGTGCCGCCGCGGTGGGCTTCTTAATCGTGCTGCTTTCCGCAGTCGCTTGTCAGGCATTTTAGTGCCGCACTCTGAGGACTGCCGCAGCAGCTTTTCTACAAGCGGGCCGCCTTCCGTGGTCGCCGTCTACACATTCTTAAATCATAAAGCCGTCAGTTCGGTGTGCCGCCTCGGCGGGCTTCCTAAGTGCGCTGCCTTCTACAGCCTCTTATCATGCAATTGGTGCCGCACTATCGGACCGCCGCAGCGGTGTTTCTACAAGTGGACCGCCCTCCGCTGTCACCTTCTATATGCTCCTAAATCAACGCCTTCCGTTCGGCTTGCCGCCGCGGCGGGCTCCCTAAGCGCACTGTCTTCCGCAGCCGCTTGTCATGCATTTGTGCCGCACTTGTTGCTGTTGTTACATGTCCGTGGGTGCGTTCCCCGTACCTGCAAACCACCCTAGTACGAGCCGAGGGCTCAAGGGCTGACAAATCGCCTATAAGCACCATCCTACCTCGCACTTCCAACGAGACAAGTGATGAAGTAAACTTATGGCCAAAGGGAACAATAGGGTTGCGGTGAGACCATATAAGTTCCAGCATCCTTGCCCGGCATTCAGGCTCCCACTTCATAGCGTCCTTCATGCCGCACTTAGCGGACCGCCGCAGCGGCTTTTCTACAAGCGCACCGCCTTCCGCGGCCGCTGTCTAAATACTCCTAAATCAACGCCTTCAGTTTCGGCGTGCCGCCGCGGCGGGCTTCCTAAGCGCACTGCCTTCCGTAGCCGCGTGTCATGCATTTGTGCCGCACTTAGCGGACCGCCGCAGCGGCTTTTCTACAAGCACACCGCCTCCCGCGGCCGCTGTCTATATGCTCCTAAATCAACGCCTTCGATTCGGCGTGCCGCCGCGGCGGGCTTCCTAAGCGCACTGCCTTCCGCAGCCGCGTGTCATGCATTTGTGCCGCACTTAGCGGACCGCCGCAGCGGCTTTTCTATAAGCGCACCGCCTCCCGCGGCCGCTGTCTATATGCTCCTAAATCAACGCTTTCAATTCGGCGTGCCGCCGCGGCGGGCTTCCTAAGCGCACTGCCTTCCGCAGCCGCGTGTCATGCATTTGTGCCGCACTTAGCGGACCGCCGCAGCGGCTTTTCTATAAGCGCACCGCCTCCCGCGGCCGCTGTCTATATGCTCCTAAATCAACGCTTTCAATTCGGCGTGCCGCCGCGGCGGGCTTCCTAAGCGCACTGCCTTCCGCAGCCGCGTGTCATGCATTTGTGCCGCACTTAGCGGACCGCCGCAGCGGCTTTTCTACACGCGCACCGCCTTCCGCGGCCGCTGTCTATATGCTCCTAAATCAACGCTTTCAATTCGGCGTGCCGCCGCGGCGGGCTTCCTAAGCGCGCTGCCTTCCGCAGCCGCTTGTCATGCATTTGTGCCGCACTTAGCGGACCGCCGCGGCGGCTTTATGATGTAGCTGTAGTCCGTCCACACGTCCGAAGGCTCCGGGTCCATTCACGCGTCTTGACTTCAACTTTCGTTTGCTTGCAGATTTCTTGACGCCATCCTGTATGCCTGTTTTGCTCGTTGTTCTTTACGCCTTCGCACGTAGGGTAGCTGTTATGTTGGTAAGTATCCTGCACCGGGCTATCTGGCGACTCGCGAGGATACCAGGGTAAAACAGGCGAACTCAAGACAAAGGGCGCCGACCAAGCCCCTCGCAACCTCTTGCCAACCAAGAGCTACTCCCGGCAAAACGGACTCCCAGCTAAAGCCTCGCCAACTGCGGGAGGCCGAGATAAAACCACCTTTCCTACTGACCTACGGACCTCGCGAACCCAACTAGAATTCCCCCGCCCACCGACAAGCAACAGAACCCACTATTCAGGTGCCTCTACTCAAGGCCGAACCAACCCAACCACCCGCGCGGTGCCCGCGCGCTTCACTTACTTGCATGGATGCCGTCGGCCCGCAATGTCGATCTGCGCGTCGCCGCTGTTGTTGTCTTCTCATATATAAGAGACGGCGTCCTATTGTATGCAAAACCAAAGATAAAGGCAATCTAACATCACTCGTCAAGCGATTTCGACCTCGACTTTCTCTAGTCTTTCTAGTCGTCTATTTTCTGTAACCTGTCTTAATAAAGCTTAGTTGGTATCTGTTGTCTGACTCTGCAATCTGTGCTGGAATGGCCAAACTCGGAGTGTCTCGTCCGGTGTGATATCCGGGGTTGGCATCGGGCCCTCCGTACTTCTGTATTTGGCAGCAATGCAATTGGCTCGGAGAACTGAGTCGCGTATGTACTCGCTGTATTTCACGTATAAAGACAGGCGAGATTTTGCGATGTCCTTGCAACTTGCGACTTTGTAAGTTGCAAGCCGTACACAAGTGCACTCTTGTGTACGCGATCGCCCTGCATCCCGCAATTTGTTTTGCAACAAGTCATAACATAAGTTTGCCACCAGAAACGACGTAAAAAAGGTTGGCGTATGTGCGTATTTCACCAGATTTCCGCGATAAACGGTGGCAGTTGCTAAAAGCGCAAACCGAATGATAGTGCAGAAGCTGCGTGCGCCGCTCCAATAGCCATCAGGTTCTTGACTTTGTCTACGTATGTACTGCGTGAACTGCTGCCAGGCATAACCAAGTAACTTGTAGCCTCGACATTGGAGGCGGAACAGCAGGAGAGAGACGGGTGTCTGTTCTTGTAGTTGTAAGGACCGGGCTGTGAGTCGACGCATGTAATGCCAGCAAGGTCAATTTAAAAACGTTGCTTTTCCAACTACCGTACAGGTCAGAGGCTTGGTCGCTGTCTGCATGTTTTGTAGGTTGGAGTTTGTGCGGCTGCGGCGATCGAGGAGCCACAACACCCCCAAATCCTAAAATACTAAGAAGCACATACCACACAAACATTAACCGCCGTCTTACCAGCAAAGTTCAGCATTACCGCGCATTATCTATTCACGCAAACCCCAACCCCCCACCGGGGGATCTACACACAGCCGGCGCGGAAACCTGAAACGCTGCGGGTTGCGGTCCTCACGTCGTAAAACTAAAGCCCCGAAACCAAGACTTTGGATAGGCCTTATGCAGGTGCCGTTGGTACGCAGCCTCCACAGCAGCCTGCAATGACTCAGGTCCACACACCACGACGCCGAACACCACCACATCGCGGTATGTTGCTGCTGCTGCTGCCCGGGGGTAAGCGCTGCACCCTCCCCCGCCGCTGGCCGCTGCCTCCCCCCCCACATACGCATCCACGTCAGGACGGCCCACATGCACACGAATACCAGCACCTCTGAGTTGCGGACCGCTCTTCAACACCACCTGCTTACCACTAATATCCCCGTGCCGCTCTGTAGAGCCGCCAGACACCCCTCCACCTTCCGTGCCGCCGCTAACACCACCGACTTCCTCGCCATAAGTCCGCTGAAAAGCTTCCACTCCCGCCTCCGCCTCCGCCTCCACGTCCGCTAGCACACCGGGCAACATCATGGCCTCCAACCCCGGGAGCAGATGACGGGACCCCCCTGCTGCCGCCGCCCCCGCCGTTGCCGCGTTGGTCCTAATACCCGCACCACCCTCCTCCATGGCACGTTCCACCGCCAACGTACCATCCGCCGCCGTACCATCCGCCGCGCAATGGCTATCGCTATTGCCGACGCCGTCGTGGACCTCGTGCAGCCGCCCTTCCGCCGCCCTCGCCTCGTGTCTCGCAACCCCCCCGGCGGGGCTGCGCGCCCACAGTCCACGGAGCCAGCTGCCCCCTGCTGCTGGGTGACTTGGGGGGGGCGCCGGTAACAGCACCCGCCGGCGCCGACCGGACCCACGCCCCGCCGCCGCCGCTGCCATGCGCCACCGCTGCCACACCAGACACGCCGCCGCCGCCCCGAGCAGTACTCCCGCCACCCAGCCCAGAAGCGGTGCCAGCCGCGCTGCAAAGAAGCACACACGCGCCTGGCAGCACGGCCACAGGCGGTCAAGTCCCGAGCCAGGTCCTTTAAAGGGATCACATTTGACACACAGCTCTGGTGCCGCTACGCCGAAGGCACGGCACACTTTAAGGCTGACGGTCCCAACACCACCCGCCGCCTTAAGCGCCTTCTTCCCGGCGGCGTGAATCCCCTTCGCCAACGCAGCGTCAAGGCCCTGCCGTACTGCCGACGGTAGCAGCGACGCCGGGCAGCGGAGCACTGACGTCGCGGCACTTCCCTGGAGTGCAGCCGTCAAAAGCCACGACCAGGCGGAGCCGCCGCCAGCGCCGTCGTACGCGGCGGACGGCCGAAACGCGGCACGGACGGACGCCATCCATTCAGCCGCGGCGGTGTCAAAACTGCCGCCTTCCCCCCCGGCGCCAAGGGCAGCCGGCGTGGCGACCATGCAATTGTGGGTGCTGGCTGCCGTACTGCCCAAGTTCGCTCCGACGGCGCCCAGGAGGGCCGCCAGAGCCGCCACCCCCCAGCAGGCGGGGCCTTGAAGCTGCCACGGCGCCGCCATCACCTTTACCTTGGCGACGGCGTCGGGGCCAGGTGCCCCGTCATCATGTGCCGCTGCAGCGGCGGCGGCGGTAGGACCTGCTATCGACATAGCGGCAGCAGAAGATCTGCACACGGTGCTTGCCGTACATGGCTTAACCGTCGTCGACGGCGATGTACGGCATGGCTGTCGGGTGCAATGTAGGTCTACAGTCCAGCCCCTAGCGACGGCGGCGCGAAGAAGCGGTAGCAGCGGCTGAGCGTCCGACTGCGGGGATTGTACAGTGGTGTCGTACGGCGCAGGGAGTAAGCAAACAGTTTATAATCATTAGCGCCAAACAGCAGACAGGGGGAGTGGGGGAGTGGCGGAGGGGAACAAGGAGCCATTGGCGGCAGTAGCCGGAGGAAGGTAGCCAAGGAACAGGCCAGGTCAGGTCAGTCCCCAGAGGGGTATTCCATATTCCCTCTGCGAAGCTTCGCGACTCGCCTGCTGCGTCACCGCCCAGACCAGGTGCACGTGTGAGCAGCTCCAAGCCGCTGATGCCGCCGCCGCCGCCGCATCGGAAGTCTTCTCCGTTGCCGCGGCTGCCGCGGCCGTGGCGGCGGCGGCGCCGCCAGACACAGCCCACACACCAATTCCGCTCGCACCCGCCGTCAGCTGATGCTGCGGCGGCGGCGGCGGCAAAGGAGGCGAAGTCGGCGGGATCTCCCCTGGTTGGGTGTTTCGAGGTTTATGGCCCTGGGGAATCCAATCCTTGGCAGCGGTGTCATATCCTGGCGGAGGCGCCGCCGCCGCCGGCGTCGTGACGAGCAGCGCCTGCAGTATGGACGCGATGGGGGTGATGCCCGCGCCGCCCGCGAATAACAACAGGCGGTCTGCAGCGACGGCGGCGGCCTGCAGGTCCGGTGTGCCGTACAGTCCTTCGTACACGACATCAAGCCTCCTGGGGTTTGCACCCGTTTCAGTGCGGGGGGAGAAGAGGGGAAAACCCGCGGGGTTCCTCGACTAACTAGGTCGGTTAGGTGGCTGAAAGAAATGCTGACGTGGCCACTGCCACCGCTACCGCCACTGCCACCACCGCTCTCACCTCCTCACGCTGCTGCTACTGTCACTGACTTTCCCCACACCCCCACACCCCACACCCCCACTCCA